AGGCAGCATCAGAGGAGCAGGAAAGCTGATGTTTTGGACCTGAAGGGTCCAGACCCGAAACGTCAGCTTTCCTGCTCCTCTGATGCTGCCTGGCCTGCTGTGTTCATCCAGCTCTACACCTTGTTGTCTCAGATTCTCCAGCATTGGCAGTTCCTACTATCTCTCACTACTACCTGTAAGTTCCCCTCCATGCCACTTACAATCCTTCAATGTCTCTGGGTCAAAATCCTGGAACTCTGTCCCTACTGGCATTGTGGGCTTACCTAAAGCACATGGACTGCAGTGTTTCAAGAAGGCAGCACAGCACCACCTTCGTAAGGGCAACTAGGCATGGTAATAAATACTGGATTGGCCATTGAATTTTTTAAAAATTAAAGGGCTTTCTCTTTCAACATCAGAAATTGTATGCAGTGGCAATTACCTTTTGAATCTCACAGATCCATGTAAAGTATGCACCAATCCCCAGGTACTTCCTGTGTATCTGTCACAGAATTCTATACCGACTCAGGTCGAGAGAGCCAACACACATGTGGAAACTGACGCAGTATTTTCAGATAATATTGCTGAGCAGAGGGGCGTAATGCTGACCATCAACTGAGACCTTCTTAATAAAAAGATTTGTTGTAACACCTGTAGGCTGCAAAATATAGCTCAAATCTTTCAAATTTGCCTTCTGTCTAGGTGTCTTACAATGTGGAAGGTTTCTGTGAACGGAATCGGGATGTTCTTTTCACTGACCTGATTGAACTCATGCAGAGCAGTGAGCTGTAAGTGGAAGAAAAGCTCCTTGTATGCGTGCACGGACTGTTCAGAGCTGATTGTGTAAATCGTTTGCATTGTGTGCGTGTTTAATTGTGTTTGTTGCTGCTTCACAGCCCTTTCATTCGTGCACTTTTTCCTGAAAGTCTACAAGCAGAAAAGAAGGGCCGACCCACAACTGCAGGCAGCAAAATTAAGGTACTTCTTGTTACTGATGTGTCTCCCTGCCCTTTCAATGAGAATCCCAACCATTGCCTGTCTTCAGCAATACGTGCTCCACAGAGTAATGGGATGTTATTCTGGACAGACATTAATGTAGTGGTAATGTTACTGGGCTAGTAACTTAAATGTCCTTGAATATACATACAAATCACACTAGGGAGAATTTAAATTTGATTAATAAATCTGAAATAAAATGCTTGTCTCATTAATAATAATCATGAAACTACTGGATTTTCACAAAAATCCATTTGGTTCATTGAAGTCTTTCAGATGAAGAAATGTGCTGTCCATTCCCTGATCTAGCCCACACACGACTCCAGATCCACAGCAATGTGAGTGCCTCTCAAATGACCAAGCAAGCCAGTCAATTCAAGGACAATTAGAGATTGGCAATGCATCCCGAGAAATATAAATAAAATCTTGTAATTCCCAATGACATTGGTGTTGGCAATTGGCAGGTGAAGGCAAGGCTGTTTCTTCAGGAAGGCAAAAATAGCTAAGGGAACAATGGTTCCATTTTAAAAGGATCTTCACTTGCTGTGTGTAAGTTGAGATAGCCCTAACTCCAAATATTTCTATGCTCCATTTCGGGAATAAAGAAACCACAGGTTTTCTTGCTCAGTCACTCTACAAGTGAGTATGTTGTGCAAGCAAATTGTGCGTCAAGTACAATGACGCTAAGGAGATTTCTCTTGGGTTGTGTCACGGTCCCATAGCTAACCACAACAAAAACCACAGCAACACCCAAAAGTGGAATGGCGTATTAATGGAAAACATAACCAGTCCCTTACTAGTCCCGTGAACTCTAGACGCAATTTAACTCACTGAAGCTTTAGAAAACACAGCTTGGTTACCCGAAGGTTGCAGGAACAGCAACTCATATTCCGCTTGGGAACCCTGCAGCCCAATGGTATCAATGTGGATTTCACAAGTTTCAAAATCTCCCCTCCCCCCACCGCATCCCAAAACCAGTCCAACTCATCCCTGCCTCCCTAACCTGTTCTTCCTCCCACCTATCCCCTCCTCCCACCTCAAGCCGCACCTCCATCTCCTACCAACCAACCTCATCCCGCCCCCTTGACCTGTCCGTCCTCCCTGGACTGACCTATCCCCTTCCTAACTCCCTACCTACACTCACCTTTCCTGGCCCCATCCCCGCCTCTTCGACCTGTTTGTTTCCTCTCCACCTATCCTCTCCTCTGTCCCTCTTCTATCCGCCTCCCACTCTCTCCCTATTTATTTCAAAACCCCCTTCCCCTCCCCCTTTTCTGATGAAGGGTCTAGGCCCGAAACGTCAGCCTCTCTGCTCCTATGATCCTGCTTGGCCTGCTGTGTTCATCCAGCCCTGCACCTTGTTGTCTCGGATTCTCCAGCATCTGCAGTTCCTACTATCTTTGGTTCATTCCACCTGGTTTCATTACAATGGCATCAGTTTCACTTTGTTGTCAGTGTCGTGAATAATTTTGCAAGAATTACTCAACTTGCCAACAATTTGTGTGTTATTGTATTGTATAGCACAGAGGAATGCATCCATTAATCTGTTTCTCGACATGTAATAGTTGTGGCATTCATCATGGACAGTCTGGCATGCAGTTACAATGTTTACTTGCTCAGAGAGAACTGGTGTGTCTGTCTCGAAGATCAATATTCAGAGTAACAATGAAATATTTTAAATAGGTAGATCCAGATGGTTATTGAATCCTGTTGTTTCTATAGTCTGCCAGCTAAATCCCTGGCAGAACTCAAATATTTGACAGGAAATAGGTAGAAAATTATGAATTTTCTTTCGTGTGTACTTTTAAAAATGTTGAAATGTAATATCTGAACAATGATGAGCCTGTGTTAGCCGCATGTATTATAGATAAATCACTGGGCAGGCTTCATCATGATGTCCAGTACTGATGCTATGCGTCAATATTGAAGATCAATAGCACTAACATATTCCTCAGAGACAACTGGATAGACCTCTTAATTCAAAGGTATAGCCTCCATCTGTTGCAGTGTTTTCTGATCAATTTTTTTTTTATTTTGCCTTTTTCAGAAACAAGCCAATGATCTTGTGGGCACTCTGATGAAGTGTACACCACACTATATCCGCTGTATCAAACCTAATGAAACCAAGAAGCCCAGGGATTGGGAGGAGAACAGGTAACCGTTTCCAAAGGGAAGTTAAATAGATGACCAAATCATCCCATCAGTCTCAAAGTCAGTAACCCCCTTAAATAAATATATTTCTCCTGCTTTTCTAAATCTCTGAAGACTATAAATTGTGGAAGAGTATTAGAACTGCTTGCTCCTTTAACTTAATGATGTCTGAGTGTCAGTAGATATTGTGACCATTTGATCTTCCCATCTTCTCCTGATCCTGTCCAGACACTTACACTCATGCACAGTGACACAGCTTCAGGGGAGTGGTGGGCCTTTGCCCTTCCTGGCATATTGAATGGTACAAATACTCCTGCTTTCAGTCAACACAATTGGTAGCTGTGACTCAGCAAAGACGTACGAAATCTCCACAGTCAACCAGAGCGGTTGTTGTAATGTGGCCACAGTATGATTCCCAAAGCAATTAAGAGAACTCCTCTGTCTAGCTACAGCCTTATAAAGCATGGATTTCCCTGCAAGACCTGCCTTTAGTAATTGTGAGTAGCTTGATATCCAAAATATACAACTAACCCCTAATCTCTGAAGTCCATTCCAGTCCAGAATTCCAAATTACTGGCCATCCATTTACTGAAGCAGGAGCAAATCTGCCTTCCACAACTATTTATTTGCATTTTATAATTCAATACAAACTTAAGTCTGTTCTCTCCCCTTCCTGACTAACCGTCCAGACTAGGAAAACCAGCCCTTAAATGTACCCTCCAATGAGCATCAATTGCTCTCTCTCAGAAGCATGTCCTGGTTCATTCTTAAAGGAACCATCATTTACAACAGTGCCATTCATTTCCCTCAATCCCCTCAGTGCAGTTTCTATCTCCAATACACTCCAAGACAGCACATCCAACGCCATCCTGAGCCGAAAGTTTAAAGATTCATGATCCTTTGATGAAATTTCTCTTTGTCTCGGCCCTAAATGGCCAATTTATATTCCGCTGCTGTTACTCTATGTTCTGGATTCCCCAGCCAAAGGAAACATTTTCTCAGTACCAAACCATGTAAATCACCCTAAGAATTTATATGCTCTGATTAGATCACCTCATTCTTTAAACTGTAGGGATTATAGGCCTAGTCTACTTAATCCCTCCTCACAGGACAATCCTGTCATTTTAAAAATCCGATGAGTGACCTTTCGTTGCATTCCATTTAGGGCAAATATGTCTATCACTATGTGAGGAAGGTACAACTGACCAAAGTAGTCTGGGTGTGGCCTCACTAACGCTCTATATAATTGTTGATGTGTACCTCAGTGTCATGTGACCAAACAGAATTGGATCAACCTAAATGGAAAGGCAGAGGGTGAGGGACAGGTGGAAGGTCAGTGATGGTGGGCCTGACTAATATTCCACAGAAGGAATTGTTTAAATGGGAACTAATGGCAAACATTAAAAAAACTTACTCCAATTTATTTCTTCGTATTGTTGTACAGATTGATTGGCTCCTTTTTAATGACCGGTACACATATTCAAATGGTTTGTAATTGTCGCCAGAAAGTAGGCAATGATTGCTGGCCTTTGAATCTATTGCTGTCATTTGAGCCTCAGAGTGAAGCTGAAGAGAAGCACTTGGTGTGTTTGAAATTTTTTTACATCTGTTACTTCCAGCTGATTATTTTAAACAGCCTCTGTAGTGCCAGATACAACACTTCAGGTAAACTTGATTGATATTTGTATGTAAAGGAAGAGCTTGTTTTTATAAAGCATGATTCACATTCTCGGGGAATCCAAAATCATGACAAGTACAATGAAGCACTTTTGAATTGTGGTACATGTCGCAGACATTTTGTGCCTGGCAGCTTCCCACAAAGAGCAGAGTGGATAATCAGATTTTGTTTTTGTCACTGAATGATAAACATTGGTGCAGACAACTTCAATGCCCTTCTTCAAATCGCATGATTTGATTTCTTGGGTCCGCCTGAATAGACAGACCAAGCTTAAACCTGCAACCTTTGACTCAAAACTAAGATTGCTACACTGTATCGGAGGCTGCATTGACATGGTGTAATTTCATAGTCCTGGAGTGTACTCAGGAGGGTAATTGATACATTTGGATGTATGATCATAGAAAGAGTACATTTAAATATAGGCAGCAAAAGGTTTAATTCCAAATACATTGTTGGCCACATTTTATGTACATGCAGTCTCCAGATTGCAAACGGGTTCTGCAAATTACACCCCTGTATGGGATCGAGCTTATTAGTACAAGTATTCATCAGTTAGATGTTCATACCCTGTTATACAGTTAATGTTTATTGTTTCCTTTTTAGAGTGAAGCACCAAGTGGAGTATCTAGGTTTAAAGGAAAATATCCGAGTGCGGCGAGCAGGTTACGCTTACAGACGAGTTTTTAAGAAATTCTTGCAGAGGTGAGGCTTGCTATGGGAGTCTGTTTCACATGCTGCTCGCTGACTACTAGCAGTGCTTTGAAAAATCTTTTTTCCCCTCTATGTCTCTAGGAAGCACCAATTGTTTATTTATTCATGGGATGTTGGCGTCATTGGTTAGGCCAGCATTTATTGCCCATCCCTAATTGCCCTGGAGAAGTGATGGAGAGTTGCTTTCTTGAACCTGGCCAGTCCTTAGATATAAATACATTCACAGTGCTGTTAGAAAGAGAGTTCCAGGTTTTCATCCAGTAACATTGAAAGATCAGTGATATAACTCCAAGTCAGGATGTTATGTGGCATGGAGGGAAACTTGCAGGTAGTGATGTTCCCATGCATTGCTACCCATGCCTTTCTGGATGGTAGAGGTCACTGGTTTGGAAGGTGCTGTCAAAGCAGCCTTGTTGAGTTGCTCGGAGAATGATTCTACAAGCAGTCATTTTGTAGTACCTCTTTGTGTCAATGGTCACTTGAATTGAAACAGTGAGTCCACTATGGATGGACATCATGGTTAAACGCATTTTTATTCCATTCTGATAGCCACACTTGTGTACTTGTCGGTAATCAAGAGGCAAAAAAAACCTTGCTTTATGTAGCATCTTTCATATCTTTGGGACAAGTGCCCTTTGTCTTTGCTGCTCAAACTCTGTTAAATCAATACAGCCATATGTTGGTAGTTCATTGAGAGTTGCTAATGGTAGGTGAGGCACTTTGCTATTGACCCTACCTGGGGTAATTACATTGAATGTCCATACAAATTAGCCAGGATGTGGAGGTGCCGGTGTTGGACTGGGGTGGACAAGGACAAAAATCACACAACAACAGGTTATAGTCCAACAGATTTATTTGAAGACCCAAGCTTGCAGAGTTTTGCTCCTTCTTACTGACACCTAAAGAAGGAGCGAGAGAAATCCTGTAATGTGGCATTTATGCTCTTGTGTTTAGTGTAAATCAAAATCACCATCGTAACATTTTCCAAATAAAATTTAGAAAGGTGACTGTTTAATTGACTTCAAATGAGATCAAGTTGCATTTGTTCATGTAATTTGGACAACCCATATTAAAATACTTAACATCAATATTAGGCTCTGTATTTTGCTGGTCTAATTGAGAAATTGCCTATAAATTGTCCCAGTGGCTCAATCCACAGCAGCGACTGTTGTTAATTTCATCATTGTGTAGTATCACAAATAAACCCTGATATTCTGGTTACTTGTCAAAACTAAAATGCACACTGACTAAATAAAGCTCAATTTGTTATTCCAATGTGCTTTTAATCATTATATCCTTAAGTAAGTTGAACAAACGCTGTCTGTTCTTTTATTTCTTGCTGGTCTACAAGTAGTTCTACATGCGTATAGTCCTTGTATTTCTTGTGCCATACATCAAAAATAGCATTCTGCTGTCAAAAAGCTAAGGGTGGACTTGACTGTTGCCATTCTCTTTGCGCGGGCCTTTCTTTTAATCAATAGTCAATGATGTTGAGGGGATAGACTTTAGCATTTCATTTAATTCTAAGTTAACTAAGAGCCTAAGAAACTGGATGAACTACAGAAGTTAAAACTACTGGTGGATTATAAATTGAAAATTCCTGTTGCTTTGTTCTCCACTTTAAGTCCCAATTATTCTATTTTTGAGCCATCTGCTTTTTCAAATAAATTTAACTGGTTGTTTTAGCCTATTGAATGTGGAGTGTCTATACTTCGAGCCAGTTGAATATTTAACTCGACTTTTTTATGTTCCCATTGAAGTAGGAGTACAGTGTGTTTCCACATTGAATTTTATAGTGATATCACAAATAGAATCAGCATGCTCGTGAAGTCTAAAGATGCAGTTTGCAAGAAGTGTTGAACTGGAGATTTGTATGAGAGAGCAGAATCTGTAACAGATACAAAATATACAGTACAAGTGGTTATAACCACCAAATCAAGCTTAAAAATTCCCCATGAATCAACTAAATCATTTTATGAATGGACTACTTTGACTTTATCTTGTAGATTTTCATTGGTTAGCTGTTTGGTTGAATTTTTTGCTTAACTTTGTTTTGAGATTAACTACATGTGGGTTTTCCTCTTTGCTTTCTTTATTGAATGAACTACAATGGTAAAGCCGAAGTCAAGGAACGATACAGTGCAAAAGGCTTCCATTCAGCCCATTGACTCCAAGCTAGCTTTTTGGCAGAGACCTTTTTTTGTTGGCCACGATTTTTTTTTTTTCTTTTCAAATATGTATTCAATTCTCTTTCAACTGTTTCTGTTTGGTTTGCTTTCATTAACTTTTCATGCAGTGCATTCCAGTGCACAATGTTTTGCTGTGCTGAAAAAAATTTTCCACCCATCAGCTCAGGTTCATCTGCTGTTTGGTTACTGTTTCTTCTGTAGCAATTGTTCCTTATTTCAATCGACATTCATAATTCTTAAAACCTCTGATAAACTCTACTTTCAACTTATTCTGCTTGAAGGAGAACAACCTGAGCTCCTCCAAACTCTGCACGTAACTGATACCTGGTATCATGCCAGCAAATCTCTTCTGCACTCTCTTTATCAAATGTGGTGCCCAGCATCGAACACACCACTCCAGTTCAGGCCTGAGCAGTGCTTTTATAATGGTTTAACCTGACAGTCTCTTAGTAACACATTACCTGAACGTTGCTGGAAGGAGAGACGTGTTGTCAAAGCTCTTCATCTTCCTTCATCAGGTCAAATGCAAGAATACCAATTTTCAAACTATCATCGCAGTTTAGACTTGATGAAAAAGGTTTGGTGATTGGTTGATGAGTTGACTCTGGTTGGCTGAGACATTGTCATAAAGAAAGCAATGGGAAACTATAGGCTTCCCTAAGCTCTTGGATAATTCAGAAAAGACTCTACGCTTAAACATATTTCTTTTGTTTGCAGAGAATGGGTCCCTACAAATATGTCGATCCAGCAAGTGTATATGAGTCACGTTACAAACTTAAATGATTATGTTAAATTGATTATTAGTGAAGTTATTACTACACTTAGGATTAGTTTAACATAAAATCCTTGCTTTTCTGCTGTATTCCTCTATTAATAAAGTCAAGGAGCCCACGTTTTCTTTCAATCTTCTCAGTTTATCTGATTACTTTCAAAATTGTACATACATACAACCCTGGATCTCTCTTTTCCTGCACTCAATCATCACATCTCTTTCCATTTTTCCTACCAAATTGTACATACTTATGCTGTAAATGTTGCAGCATTGAATAGAACTAATTTTGCACATGTCTACACGCTCTGCAATGTGATATGTTTATTCCCAGGCTAAAATGATAATGACTTTGTCCATGAATTCCTAATAATCATGGACCAATATTGAGTCAATTACAATCAGAAAGTCCATCAGCAGATAAGTAGCGAGGGTGATGTGTGACGTGTCAAGTTTCCAGAGAGGGAAAAAAGCTTATTTTTGTTGTAAGAGTGAGATGTGGAAAGAAACCAGACTTTGGTATGAGGGTAATGTATGGGGTTGTTAGATTTTGGCATGATATGAATGGGTGAAGAGAAGCCAGGCTTGATATAAAAGGTGAGTAGCGGTGAGATCCCCTGATTAGTTGGAGAGGAATGCAGGACAACTAGACATTGGTTTGAGAGAAGGGGGAAAGGAAGGAGCTTGTTTGTAAGCTTGTTTGTGGAGCTGTGGATATAGAGATCACAGTCTGAATTACTAACTATTTGTGATTTTGAATCTTGACTGGAATCTATTACAAATGTAAAGTATTTCTAGATTTGAGAGCACATGTCTGTTATTCAAACTACACTAAATCACTACTATCATGTTATTTAGAATATGGTTATTTTCTAGTAAAATGACCAATGAATAAAACAGTGAAAATTGCCAACTGAATTGATCGTTAGTGATGCATGTATGGGTTCTAGATGGACTACTTGCTATTTATACATAGCTGTTATAAGGGGATCAATGTTATCAATAAATCAATCATTTCTGGCATATACCACAAAAGAATATTTTCATATATCACTGAATTTTCAAACAATTTATTCGTAGATTAGATATGGTATAAAACATCTATTGCCATTTATTTCATCTTTTAACATTAACTGTTCAGTTCCAGGGCTGAGTTAAATGAAATGAAAGTTGGCAACTGTATAAATCCTTTACTTTTATTTTTCTACATTCATACCATTCTGCGAGGGACCTAACACCCCTTTCTGATTGCAGGTATGCTATTCTGACTAAAGAGACATGGCCTTCATGGAGAGGAGATCCGAAACAAGGAGTTGTCCACCTCCTCCGATCAGTCAACATGGATCCAGATCAGCACCAGCTGGGGAAAACCAAAATCTTCATCAAAGCACCCGAGTCTGTATGTGAGCTTGTTATTCTCTATCTGATCTCGATCTACTGTCTCTGCTCAGTGAAATGGCTGAGGTGCACAAAGAATTCATTTCAAAGATCAGCTCCAACCGTGTTACAATTGTGGTTCCAATAAACTTTCAAATTGGCTTCTGCCTTGTCTCAAGCAAACAAGTGCACTGTTATAGTATAACAAGGTGTAGAGCTGGATGAACACAGCAGGCCAAGCAGCATCAGAGGAGCAGGAAGGCTGACGTTTCGGGCCTAGACCCTTCTTCAGAAAGAAGGG